AATCATCATTCATTTTGTAATATAATGTCGCAAGCAGCATCTTTACAGGCGGCTTAGCAATAAACATTCTCGTCTCGTCGTCATTAATTCAATTTACTCTCGAAAGGGGCGTCGATCCGAAGCTCAAATAAGGCTTTCCATATTTTAGCGAGGCACCGCGTCGCAACGCAGAGAATTCTGTGGTGTTCGCGGGGTGTGTTCCATGACGTAGTAGCCTAACCGGCATTGTTCGTGGTTTACCACAAAGGCCTGCAAATGCCAACTTGCAATGAAAAGCCCTCTACCCTACGCACTCCGTCTAAACAGATGCCGAAATACGATACCGAAAGATGTTTGTCTGAATCTTCTTTTTACACCCTCCGCTATCCGCCGATAGTCTTTTGGGGTAAACACGCACGAGGGTGGTTTCGTTTCTCGATCGACGTTACTTTTGTTCGATTTAATTTTCCATTGAAACGCGCTGTTCAGCCCTACTTAATTTGAACCAAATTGAGCCGCGGACGGAAGATAAAAGACGATTATTTGACAAGATTGCAGTACAAAATTGCAAAGGGACCTTTGTATGTTCCAAATTGTCTTATTATGCTTGAAAATCGAATTGCAAATGGTGCTGCATCAGTATTAGGAAGAAATAAAAGTTTCGATCTCTCTGCGGCATTATTGGGAACAAAACTATAATTCAGCAAGTGCTTGAAATATTTTCGAATACATTAATAAGACATTTAGTCATCAATCTTCGTTCGAGTCATCAGAGATTGGTCAAAGCAACTTTTCACAAGATAAATCGAAGAGTTTCTTTAGAGTTTGCAAAATACCTTTGATTTTTCAATGTATTTGACACTCGAGGCTCAATCTTTCCGATGAATTATTCCATTAAGAGGGGTTTCGCGTCGTAGAGGCAGCCATTAATCTTCGATTAAGTGTTCAGCGATTGGTCAAGGTAATTTCACGAATTTTCATGAATTAGGAAAACTGGTCTCCCCTTTTCGAACTCGTCTACGGTACCCTCGGCTTCTACCCGTGCTCTCCACGGGGGAGCACCTCTGTCAGCCACCAGTATGTCACCATACAGACCAGCGCCCCGGTACAATGAGGGCCCTACGAGCGATCGATATGTGCACTCGACGGAAACGACCCAACGAAAGGTCGATCAAAGCGAAATCACTGCGACTGGAAATGCGGTGGCTCGATGTTTATGGCCTGTAAAAAATTTCTCGACGAATCTTTGTTTAAACCGAACGGCGAACTCGACCCGTCGGGAGCATTGTTTGCAACGTCAGTTTGGACGCTCAGACGTATCGACGATTTGGCATTGGTCGATACGCTTAAAAAGTAATTCATTCTTTCTGTTGAGAAACCATGGTCGCCATCTACAATTTTTACTGTTCGAGAAGTAAATATTCTGCAAACCCTTAAATGAACACAAACTAATTTTCTTGGTACCTTTGTGTTAACTCAATAAATTAAAAGAAAATATAAACATTGGATAAAGTAATTTTCAGATACACTTTTGCATTGCCTGGCGTTCTTGTTGTCTGTGCACAAAAGGCTGAAATTCTATTTTCGTTTATGGTCCGTCTTCGACGATTTTGATCATTTGAATCTGCATTGTATTAACATAATTTCAAGAAATAAATCACTCCTGTCTCTGATGTCTAATTTTTCCAGCATTGCACCCCTAAAGTTGGAAGCAGTCACGGGGTGCAAAGGCCACGGCAAAAACTGATTGAATCCCCCCAAAATCCAACACCTTTACGGCTCCTGGCCGTCTGTCGTGCTATGCACACAGTTCCATGTCGCTGGCATAATGGTTCCATTGAAGCATTACCATTATTGGCGAGATTTGGGGAAACGATCGAGCGTGCTAACGGATTCGTCGCAGCTTGCAGCTTGTTTGCAAATAGGCCTTGTATACGAAATTATTGATCAAGTCGTAAACTGCGTAGCCGCGAGAAAAATAGTTTTCCTAATTCTGTGCGCGACAGAGACGCATATACTATTAGAAAATTACAAGTTTCACCTTTCCTACCAGCCTATAAACAAACCCATCGATCCTACGTTTGATGAAATAAAAATCGAACATTCAGAAAATTCTATCGATCATCGAGAAGCACCACTTCCACAAGAAAACAATTTCCATAACAAGAACAAGTGGGTGTTTCATTTTCGCAACACGGTGGCCAAGTGTTAGGAAAATAAATATGGATCGTTCGATCAAACGGAGAGCGAACGGGGCGGGAACTATCAAAATATCTGAACTGTTGATCGCAGAATGGAAAAATAATATTTGCCCGGCGGTCTCGAAACTTCTGTCTCGACATTCTGGCCATTCACCCTGTTCTACCAATAATATTTATTCGTACACGAAAATTGCGAAATTTTTATTCCCATTCAGCGATCACTTCGTTACAGATATACGTTAAATACTTGGAATGAACGGTTTTATAATTTTGCCATGAATCGAAATAGGTGAAAATGACGCGTTACTTCGAGTTCGAGGGAAGAATATCGCAGGTTGCAAGGTTGATTTTTTCGATCGTAACTAATTTTGACCATTCTAAAGTCATGTTCCTGGTGTAATCCGTCGGATTAGGCGGGTAGGTGTAATTTCAGGCGCAACTTGTGATACATCTGCCCCGCAGTGATTTCCACAAAGGACACGTGACCTGGCACGTGTGCATTCATTCTTGAACAGGACTTCATTCCTGCAAAGTGGTCCGAGCACGCTCGTTTGTAAGACGATAACTGGTTTAAACGTAGCTTTTGTGTTTGCGTATCTATTCGCTCTCTTTCGAACGATAGCTTTATTACTGAACGGAAACGTGGTTTATCTATCATCGCTTATACGCCATAATATTTCATAGAGGAAGACGCGACTGATTGGCAGTGTTTTAACAATTATAGCACGCACTTTTAATGCTTCTACTGCTGGCGTGTGTAGAATACGTAGATTTTTTAGTTATAATAATTTTATTTATTTCTTAACATTCTGGCAATTGCTGGTCTTATTCGAGAGACATCAAATTATTCTACATTCTTTCCCTATTTTTCTGCACATGTTTTTCTTTATGCATTTTATTGCAAATACTGTTTAGACGTCGTGGTTTTGTTTCTGATTCGAACTTTAAAATTCAAACCGTATCTATTTGCAGAACGAGAGGAAAATCCGCATAGAATTCTTTAACACATTCATTGTCAAGAATTTGGAATTGTTTATTTCGTTACTTTAACTTTCAAAAGTTTTCGCGTTACTCAGACAAGATAGTAGTTTTGCTGAGTGTTAGTACAAACGAAGTGCCTGAGGCATCTTAAATATTTCATCCGAAACTAATATTTTCAAATACTGAACTTGATCAATATGGCAACGAACAGAGTTTTCGAGGTGAAAGTGATAAAGCACAGTGGGCTAGGTAAAATATGATTTATTGATAAGATATAAATTCTGTACAATATATATTCCCTGAATCGATGACTTTACAGTCAGATAAGAGCACTGACGGAGATGTACGCTTAAATTAACCTAAACCTAGAAACGAAGGGTGAGATCATGCGTTCGAGATCAACCTAAGAACATCGATGACTAGAAAATAAAGGAACGCGATTTAGTACGTGTTTGGTGAAACATACGAGAATCTTATATCGATTCCTTCGCAATCAGAATATCGAAACTAAAAATCTTGCTACGATCGATCTACGGCTAAATCTTAATCCTAGAAATTCGTTGCAAATAGAATGCTCTCTTACAAAGTAAATAACGATCATTTTTTCGCAATGGCCTACTCTTTTTACAATCACGCTGCAATCGAACGATCTACGATTTCACGAATCGTCGTACTGGTCGTTTCGATCAAAATATAATTTACACGCAGCAGGGGAATCGTGTTGCTTGCAAATTATAACATAGTTGATGTACAATCGAAAGATTCGTCAGACCACTAAGTTGCAAGCTAATTACTGAATAGAAGTATCAAAGGGTAAGTGCCAAAATTAGATTGGGATTTCTCTTATAATTAACTGCTACGATATGTCAACAGATGAACGTTCAACATTGTGATCTAGTGAAATATTTTTGCTTTTGTAATAGATTTGTTTGACACGCAGCCCCTTTGATAGTTCCACTTTACAATTGTCTGATGGAGAAATCTATCAAACATTATTTTTAATCCTCTATTGCATATATTTGACAGAAAATACAAGAAACCAACCTCATCATTGGGGCATCTAATAGCTCTGCAGATCACTTATTATTTAGCTCGAAAATGAATTAATTCGTGCATATATAAATAATGAAGTAATAATTTCCTTTTCCAAAGGTAAAATAAAATTCATGCAATAGGGGATTACACTTTTCGTGTGCTACTTTAAAGGTACGCGGTGCAACACATTGTGTTTACTAAACATAAGTAAATTCTTTGGTTTACAGTCCCTGATATATAAATACTGTAGAAAATATGACACGGTTAAAAAGTTTCACGTAGCGGGAGTAATTAAAAATTATCAAAGGCTAGTTCTTTTTGTACGCAGGTGAAGATACATTGTTATTAATAATTCTATCTTTTACGAAGGGATTTGCACTCAGAAATTTGAATAAGTCTTCTACTTCGGGTCCCTTATAATAATTCGTCTATAGATTGATAATCTGTCACTATTTTGCACTGGTTTCACTGGCATATTTGAGCAGTTCCTACAACCACAATCCTATACAGTGTTAAAATACTGGCAATGGCTCGTGCAACGCGTTTCGAGAATAGTTTCATAATTTTAAAGCTCCAAAATATTTCCAAATCCATCGTAAACATCGAACATGGCAATGACTCGTGTTTCTAGACTATTTCCATTCTTCTCCCCTGATTTCATTATTTCGAAGCTTAAAAAGAATTCCTACTTTGAGAAGTCCGTGATCCTTCAATTTATCCACGAATCGATAAACTGGGCGACGGAACACCTTGAAAATTCCTCTGCCTTTGTACCGAATACCGTTCAACAGTCACAAAAATGTTCTAAAGACACTGGTACATGCTGTTGTGTCCCATGTGATGAGGCGTTTGCAGTTGATGCTGCGTATGGTACATCCTCTGATCGTAGCACGGTTGATACTGCATCGGTGGGCTGACGCTCTGGTCGCTGTAACAGTCGTATTCCTGCCACTCGGGGACGAATCTCTCCTGAGGATAGGGGAAACCAGCGTGCGACGGGCCCAACCGTTTCTGAGCCGCCACCGCGCAGCTTCCCGTCGAGGATGTGATCATGTTTCCGTTCTCGCCGATGCTGACCGTCACGTTTCCGACGTTCACGGTGATCTCGCCGGTTTCCGCGTTGCCCAGCGTCTGCGAGAGCGCCCAAATGTAGTTGTGGGCGAACCGGAGCGTCTCGATTTTCGTCAGCTTGGTGTCTTCCGGGAAGGTCGGCAACGCCATCCGGAGCCGCTCCAGGGCGTCGTTCAATGTGTGCATCCTGTGCCTCTCGCGATCGTTTGCCTTTATACGCCGGTTCCTTTTCAGCTTGAGCACCTGCGAACGAATCAATAGTTACCACGCGATCACCTCGATCGTCCCTTTTTATCTCGTGTCTTTCACGTTCTTTTCTGGGCGTCTCAGGACCGGAGGAAACTGAACGAAATCGAAGAAGTACGAAGTACTCAACCGTCCATAACTCATCGGACATTTTGCCCGTTTGTCTTGGAAAATGCAAAGTAAGGTATACAATTTTCCAAAGTGACTTTATTATCTCGCTTTCTTACATTTAGTCATTTTAAAATGAATAAGTAAACGCGTTTAAAATCGAAGGACTCGTGAAAAATGATACAGAAAAGTTGGAACTTTGTTAATGAAAACTAAAAGACAATTGTTTCTGGAATTCTGCCATTCATGTGAACGATCGTTTTCAAACTAAACAGACTCATACAAATATTTTAGCAAAATCCATGACATACAATATAAATTATATTTCTTTTATAATATTATGGATAAATAAGTATTAGTTTCATTTTATAATTCACATCTTCACAGTGTTAATTCATTTTTATTCTGCGTTTGTTAAGTGTCTGATGACTTGTGGACGAGAGTGTACATATGTACATAAATGTGGTAAATATGTGGAAGGATTCCTTATCAGTATGTAAAAGCAAATAAAAAATTGAAAAGGAATTGATCTGTTTTAAAATGTGATTAAAAAGCGCACTGAAAAATAGTGTATTTTATAATTCTGTGAAAAATTTAACAGGGATGAAATAAACAGATTCTTCAGATATTTTCATCGCCCTTTTGGATGTAGACAAATAGATCGTTGGGTGATTTTGTTACGATTCGAGGAAGTAATGCTTACCTGCGTAGGACTCTTGCACCGAGTACTTCTGGTCTTCTTGCGTTTCTCTTCCTTCGCCGGCGGAAACAGAGTGTCTGCTTGTATTTCGTGTTTGGGTGATTCGAAGCTCACGTCGAAGCCAGAGTCGGAGGAGCTTGAAAGTTCGTCGAAACCTCCTTCGCTGCAGAATGAATACTCCGAGGACATAGCTTGTGCTTCCTGAAAAGCAAATCCATGTTTCCTCCAATTTATTATTTCCGAATTTTCAGGTACTTAATTAACTTTCAAAAGCGTTGCCTAAATACTTTACATTACTGTTCGTAGCTTCTATAGATGACAATTTTTTCGAATTAAAGTCTCGCGCGATAACACTTTCGAATTCAAAATTATTATCGCTTACCTGATGAATCGATCGAAGGGAACAATCCTTGTTGAATTTATCCAGATCGATCACTTGGCACAAACTCGACGCGTACAGAGCTATTTCTACGAAACTGTTGCGCGAACGTCGGAAAATCTTTTCACGGCATAGCCGAGCGACCCGTTTTGCAGCGGGAGAAAAAGGAAATAAGAAACGAGGACTGTTCTAGGCGGGGTACAATTTTGTACTGTGAAAGTGGCATGGGGCTCTTAGAGCATATATACTGTCCCGGGGGTATTTTGCCCCCTCCATAAGGGCGGACCGCCTTCTATGGGGCACCGTACCAAGAGTTCACCCCATAATCACGACGGAGGGGCACCTAACGTTCACCCCACCACTTCCTCTGTATGCGTTAGATGCGTGCCACGGGTGATGTACTTAGTCGTCTAGTTTAGGAGATTAGAGGTTTCTAGGGCGATTACACCTCTTTACGGGTTTCATGGAAAAATTAATACAGAGTTCTGCGGCGTGATATCGAAATCTTTTGTGAATTTACAGCCTCGTAATATTGTACTCTCGGAAGCAGTGTACTTGTTTCGTTCGTGATCGAGCGCTTGCCATGTGTACTGCGGTGTACAGAGGGAGATCATTGCCAAGGTGCTCTTGCTATGCGTACGATGTACGATAATCCTAACATTCACATTAGTATTTTATATACTAATATTTACACACTTTCAATTAATCAAAATTATTCAAAGAAGAATAAAGATATCCTCTTTTTTGAAAGTCTCTCCCCTTTCAAAATAAGTTTCAATAGTCTCTATTTTTTTGATATTCTTTGCGTCTTAAGAAATGATATACAAACGACGTATTATTAGACAAGTTATAAAATATGAAATTCATTTCTCGATTTTACCTTAGTCACTGCCCACAAAAATGTACGTTGGTTGTGTTCTCCCAGTCACTGCTATCAGGTTAAAATATTCAGCCTGAGATCGTCGTTCGACACTGCCCCGGAATACGTGGTTGAAAATAAATGGACGATAATCTAATAAAACCAACCACGGCCATATGTCGCACTCGCTAATCAGCTGATAATGCTCGGGACATCGCTATAGAAACGAGCAGGTAGATCGGCTTGAATAGGAAAATTTTCTACCGAGGGGTAATTCCTACGATTAATCAATGACTGATAATTCTTTCTGCTTTCTATCCTAGTTCGATATTACACGCATATATTTAATAAAACTAAGACATCGTTTAAAGAAAAACAAATGTTTTAATGTACAAAACATTTCACCAATAATCTACTTTCACAGATAATTGTTCATATAAATATTAAGAACACAGTTTCATGGAATTACATTTCTATACTAAGATACCAATATTTAATATCAGCATATTGATCAAAGGTAGTTAACGAGATTTGAAAGAAATCAGAAAATTTTTAATTCATTTCACATTTTGAAATATTGCATTATTATGGAAATTAATTAACAGATGAGGAATATTAGTCTTCATCAAACCTTAGTAAATATGGTTTCATACTAACTTATTTGATCCGCAATAATTTTAATAATTAACTTCTAATTAAATACGATATTATTTATATTTCGACATCAAGTTTTACGCGAAGAGGACCTGAAAAATAATGTTCAAACGTTTAAAAAAATCATCGTTACTTTTTTCTTCGTTTCCGTCGTTTCATAAGTACCTTTGTGAATTTTGTTAGTTCCATCAGGGGATGACATATTTGTTTCATGAGTTTGATGCGTCGCAATTTGCTTCTGCTCAATCGTATGCACCGGAAGAGCTAATCCCAGACCGAGTCCTCGGGAACTAGGCAATTGCACTCGAGTGTACGCATTTTCCTGGCTCCCACGAAATATCAGTTTGCACAGGGATCATCGGTAGCGCGATAGGACAAGCGGTAATCGATGGTTTCGACAAGTATTAACACCTATCAATCACAGTCGCGGCCGATTAATCAAGAAAGTCGACCGAATGAACAGACAGGTATTTCGACAATTCGTCGATTCGATCGCGTCTTCCTGAATGACCATTTTCCCGCGCGATTTGCAGAGAAACACGCAAGATCGACTTGAGAAGGGAATGAACAATATCGTGGCCACGTGTAACTTGTTTGCATAACGATTTGTTATCGATAGTATATTCGCGCATCCTAAGTGTACTGTCAATAATTTGTTCGTTGAAAACAAACAGGTCTTGCCCCCGATGCGGAAACCACCGTTCACTTCCGACCAGCGACCGTTCACTGTGATTTATGGCCAGCTTTGATATACCATGTCGCAGCGAAACTTTCGTTTATTCGGTACAAATAGCAATACGATATAAAATTTTAAAAATATTAGATTTCGTTGTCTGGTGCAAGGTTATCAATATAGACTATCATGTATTATTTCTCTATCACATTTGGATGCACTGATTTATGCAACTGGTCATTTGCACTAAAAAGTAACAAAAAGTATTCATATCTTCTTAAACCTCGAAATTTAATTGGTCGTCATATTGTTCACAAATATTTTTTTACATTTAAATCAACAGTAACAGTATTTGATATTGAAGATTAAGAACATATTACTTTATACTGTTAAGTAGAATATTCAACACACATTTTCCTGCAAGCAATATTTACAAAGTTGTCAAACTAGTTTCAGTTGATAAACCATTCCTACAGTTGCCTCGATACCGCAGGAACTGGTACATTCAATTAATCGTTACTGCCCTTGGACGATGTAATAGATTATAATTAATAACTGCTGGGAATCGTTTCCTTGCAAATTGAAAAATTGTAAAGGGTCGATGAAAAGAAAATGAGTAAGACGCTTCGTGTACAACGACAGTAAATTTTTAGAGGAACTTGTTTCTTTCGTCAATCCTCAAACAAGCTGGAAGTGTTCTTAACCTCTTCTCCGATGCGCGATAATGGTTCCTGTTATTCGTATTATACCATTACTGATGTACGATAGTAGTTTAGAACACGCGAGCGCAGTAATTGCATTGGACGTCAGCTACTGGTTTTTGCCTCAAATTTCACCCGTACAGTAAACGGAAGACGGATAATGATACATTTAATGAGTGAAAATTATGAAACTGCTGGACCATAATATTTATATAATTGCAACGTTTCCGACTGATAATTTCCTCAACGTCTCATAGTCAGTCATTTCCTCTTATTTATTATTGTTTGCGCTTTCTGTGCAAACTGAAATACCTGACACGAATTTCTCGTGCAACTTACTACTATCGTCAGATGAATACACCAAAATTAGGTTCGAAGCAAAGAATTATATTACACAAAGAGGACACTTCTCGAAAGAAGAAATTTTTACCAGCGGGAAGAACTTGCCACAGTTTTAGGCTTTTTTAAAATTTTCATACGTGTTATTATTTACTAAATCAATTTGAAATTTCTTGTTGATATCTGTCTGGCACCTTCAGTTTTCTACTGTTCGTGAATTTACGATCGGTTACGTTTGAGTTCTTCCCGTCGAGGCTCACCTCTTCAAAGATAAAATAGGCTGTCCTAGGTCGATTAAACTCGATCGCGTGCCATCAATGGAATTGATGCTACGTGATTTGCATGATACGGTTTGATACGATTCGATCGACTCTATTGAACTGACACTATACGAGAGCCGTGCATAATGCCACTCTTTACGGGTCACATTTGCATCCAAGGTGCTCATCGATATCGTTCGCGAATATGCACCGGTAAACGAGAATGTTTCATCATCTAGAAATATTGCAATTTTGTATCCTCTGAAATATGTTTACGTCTTGTAAACGTTAAGACCATACACTTACACGTTCCCAATAATTGATAGAATTTTAATTTAAAAAATTCTTTATGTAGGATAAGTGCACCTATTTTCAACTTCAACCTAGTCATCGAATTAATTTATTCCAGTAATATGATTATTAACAGTTTTGTTAAAGCATTATATATTTTTAGTATACTATACACTTATAACACATTGGCACTAGCAACGCTGTAATCATTATTTATATCTTGGCAAAGAAATAAAATTACTAAACAAGTAACAGGTTAAATGACTCGTTGCTTCAAAATTTAAATATAAATTAAATTGTTTTTGCAACGTAAAATTTTATCACACTATAACATATGCAAAATATAATACTCATAGTTTTTTATTATCATTCAAAAACAGAGATGCTTAACAAATTTCAATATAAATTGAATTTTATGCACAAAATTTTATTCGAGTCATAAAGAAGACGACAGTGATCTTGATATTTCTGACGAAGTTCAAACTATTACAGTTTCGCTGAAATTATTACAAAAAATTCTGTTTAACGATTCTAGCTAAATCTTTATCGCCGTGAAAGTTACGGTTAAAAGATATTTTACGACAAACTGATCGCGCGAAAGTCAGAACTTGATAGACGTAATGTTTCCTGCGGTATAGAAAATGACTCGACATTATTATTTTTAGCTCCTTGATCTTAGAATGTTACTTTTCCACTTAAATATCGAAGATAAATATCGATAGTGTAAAAGCGTTCACGCTTTACATTTCAGATCATGTTTTTACATTCGCATGACTTTTTTTGAAGCAAGAAAGGTTTCCTGTTAACAAACCGTGAAAATATTGCAAACATAGCTGTAATTAAAAAGCGTGTTAAAACTTCTACTTGAAACAATAACATGCTTTCTGGTTGTGTTTGCATAAGCCTACTTTCTCTGTCTAATTACGTTATTATGACAGGTGTTCTAATACTTTTAATAACGCGATTTAGCGCTAGGCTTTCGTTTCTCTACATTTTTATAACCAATACCATTTTAATCAGATTAAATCAAAAT